AACAAGTTGGCTGAAGTCACGTTCGAACGAGGGTCGACGATAAATCTCAGATAAGATATCCTAGTCGCTCTTGTCAAATTCGAAGCGTCAACCGTCCCTACAAGAAAAGAGATCATAAATTAGAAGTAAGTTCCATAAAAAGCGATAAGCAAAGTATAGGAATGACATTCACTGCGTTCGGAGTAAGAGATCGGAACTTTGACATAGGGGACAGTCTCATCCTCGCACTCCTGCCACTTTCCTCGAACCCAGAACAAGGTCTCTTTCCACCTCTTGATGGAAGTAGGAAGACCTAGTACAAAAGGAGAGTGCCCTCTCCACAAACACAACGAATGCCACCATTTGGAATCTCCCTTGCCTAAGGACCTAAGCTGGTAAACTGTTTGAAAAACGTGGAGGGCATGTCATGCCCAAAGAAGTCTCCTTCCAGAGCATGAACAACCCCACTAGCTTGGCCCACCCGTTGGGAGTGAGCTAGATAGGGGCCAACCCGTACAACCTAAGGACGGCTCGGAAAAATAGGTGGAGGGATAGACGAAGTCCGGCCTTTAAAAGGAACTTGTCGATGGCGATGCACCCCTGCCTAGGAAAGTAGGCCTGCTCATCAGGAGAAGGTAATAGAAGTTCGATGTTATAAGGGATCCTACAGTTGTCTCTAAGGATGGCCAATTAGGTTGGGTCAACGCTAGAACGAATTTTGGCTGCCCCCCAACCTACACCATCATAACCCCCTACGACCTCCCTAGATGTCGAAGCACCTCTACCGGCCTCAACCGACCTCCTAAAATCAACCGTACTAGTTATCTGAACCCCTAATTCATTAGCCACCTTAGTCACGTCTATATCATCCCCGGAAGAAGCGGAAGAAGCCATAAATGCACAAGACAATACCAAAGTTCAAGAAATCAGTTACTTACAAGCTAAGAAATGATTCTTGGAAGCACAAAGGGAACAAGTCAGAGAAACACTTGGAAGAATATTAAAACGAGAGATTGCAGAGTTTTCAGAGGGAAACTAAATGAAGGCTTGAGAATTCTGAAAAAGAAATGAAGCAGAGATTCGTGCAAAGGTGGAAAGAAACTCTCTCAAAGTTTTTCACCTTTTATAGACGGCTCACTCAACCCTGATCGTTGGATCTCAATCCTCATCATGCAGCCATTCATTCAGAGGATTTAATCTGAGTTACCCATAACATCTAACGTTTCATCTTCAAGGGCCCAGATCTGAACGTAGCTTGCACGCGCCATCACGCATCTAAGTCTCGTTAAGGAGCGTGAGAAACAACCATCATTGTGCTTTAAATAAGGCGGCTATTGCGTGTATTGGAAGTTGTATTGCCCCAGCTGTTTCTTTTGGAAAGGTACCACGACATCAAATCATTGAGGCTCCATGATTAGGACGCCTCGTATTTCCCAGAGTTACTGGAAAATAACAAATCCTTGTAACTATCAATTCGAGGCTGTGAATAGCATCAAATCTTATCAGCCTCTGAACTTATGAAGCACTCTGAAATATAGCTCTTTACCTACCATACCTAGCAAGCCACCTCAGACAAACTCCCATGAGAGGGTCTACATAGACTTGGGCGTCTTTCCTTCCAGAGATTACGCAACACTTGAAGTCCATACATAGCATAAATAATCATGCATAGACTTGGAGGACTATTATTATCCCCCATATCTGAGGTCCCAGCTCGGACGCCACATAAGCAACAGGCCCACATGGGATCGGATGCCAGCTACAAATAGTCAGCAAGTCAAAAAAGACCCAGTAGGTCAGGCACGCTAATAAAGACAAGTAGGCAGAGGTCCTCAACATAAAACCTGAAGTTATCATATGATATGAAGTCTAGCCTGAAGCACCTCATCAAAGACGAGGCTTAGGCCCATCTGATGCCCTCTCAACTCGTCCAAGGTTTATAAAGTCGACACTGTCCCTTGTAATGGATTTGAAGATCTCTTAGAAGTGTTTGATGTAACACAGTAACAAAGTATGTCCATATGTCAGCCTATTGTATAGGGCGGCTGACCTCTTGTCAATATATTAAATGTATGAAGGGACAGTGATGTGACGTCCCAATAAGGAAGATGAGACTATGTGGTTCTGATCCAATGATCACCACATTGGTCAGGATGATATAAATAGGTGCTCTTTGTGATTTAGAAAGGGGAGAGATCGATAAGAAAATATAGATAATCATATATTGATAAATACACTTGAACTCTTGAGAAACAGACGGAAAAACACATATTTATCCACGAACATCATATATCTATCCTTCTACATATTCGATTACAAAAGAAAGATTGATGGTATGAAACTAGACCGGCATTCGTTGATAGCGTGATTGCCCTCGTTACAAAAAAAATCACTGGAGCCTAAATGTCTCGTCTCTTGTCGGAAAGTGTCTCCCACGTTCATTCCAACCAGGCTACCGCTCCCGTTCCGGTAGAAACACGCCAAATCCGTACTTGACGTGGCAAGAGTGAACCCAGTATCTGTTGAGCTCATTTTTTGGGGTCAACAATTCTCTTTATTTTCTTCAAGAGGTGGAGAAATATTATGTTAATTTTCTAGGGTTTTAACTTGGTTCGAAATTTCAAATTTAGGGAAAGGATTATGATTTCTAGTTCAAGCTTCTTGATTGGCTAGCTTCCATTTGTATCAAGGTAAGGATTTTTATTTTTGGGCAAACCCTAGAATTTTTATTTGAATTCTTTAATGAAGGATATTTGGTGAAAATGATTGTGATGATGAAATACTTGGAATTATGAATTTATGTAACAAGATGAAAATTTAATTGGTTGAATTATAGTTACTAGTTGTCACTAGATTGAAGTAGGTAGTTACATTTATACTTGGAATGAAGGTTATGTTGATGAATTAGTTATTAGTAAAAAGACTAGAAAGTGTAATTAGTTCCAATTGATTAAAGGAATAATTTGGGAGAGTTATTCAAGTATCGAGAAATTTAGTTTAAGTATTATAGCATTAGATATTAAAGGTTTCTTATTTTGATAGTGGTTAAATTGGTTATCTTGTATGGTATTTCTGGTGGTGACGAAGAAATTGAAAAAGATTACCGATCGTTATAGATTGTAGCTTGTTTTGAGTGAGTGGAAAAACTTACTTTGCAGAATAAATATTTGTTAAATTTATATAATATCATAAAGTTAATTATTTCATATACTTGATTTGACGGCATGATTTTCAAAATCAAACGGATTTTATAGTCAGTTCATTTAAATCATTTATCTAACATGTTATATTCATATTACATGTTTCAACATATCTAAAGTCATTTTAAAATTCACCCTAAAGTACCCAAGTGATTTTACCACAGTCTGCACTGGTGTAAATGTGTTTCCACAGTGTATGACTTCATATGGTCATTTTACCCGACCTGCACTGGTGTGAATGTTTTTTCATAGTGTATGATTAGTTATGGTGATTTTACCTGCTCTGTACTATTGTGAATGTGTTTCTATAGTGTATAACCAAATTATAGTTATGCGCGCGTATGATCGGAATTACAGAATTTCAGAATTGAATAGCGTTGTCATGTATATCGGTACTAATCGATACATGGGTAATGTTATTCAAAGTACCTTTTTGGTGTCATATTTCAGTATTTCTACAGCCTATTGGATTTTTTATTATCGAATTCAAATTATTTAGTTCTCAGTATAAAGCTTTCAGCTTATAGCATTGAACAACAAAAGATTTCAGACTATTCAGTTCTCAGTATAAAGCTTTTAGCATATAGTATTGAACAGCAAAAGATTTCAGATATTTTCGTAGATTTCGTTATACTTTATAGTTACTTATTTCAGAGATTTTTGTAGATTTCATAGAATGAAGAACAAAGGATTTATGATGCAATCATGTTTAAGTTTTTGAGAGTATTATCAGATTTCAGAATTACTCAAAATTTCAAAAGAGTAAGAATTTTCAAAAAATATGCATAAATGGAGAAAAATATACTTATTTGTAAACTATCCACTCACTGAATTACAAGTTTATATATTTTGTCACCTCTTTTTTTTATCAAATATTAGCTGAGTTGAGCAGTATCAGAGTCTGTCGATCCACCAAGTTGAGCCACATTTTGTCTTTAATCGTATGACCCATTTTGTCCATTTACATAGTTTATATTTCTTTGGAGATACATGTATGTTTTGTCAGAAAAGTTAAATTGTAATTCACGTATCCATATCAAGGACTCACTGCATATTGAGTATTTTGATTACATTTGCGACTTTTGTTTGTCAAATATTTGTAAAGGTTGACTTCCTAGTATTGTATTTTGAATAGTTTGAGTTTTGAGGAGTTAGTGTGCCCTATTTTAAATTATATGTACTGGTTTGAGGATATTGATTATTGTTGAGATGATTTTAGTTCATATTACGGGGAAAGCTCTGTCAATTTTTTTATAAAAGTGTGTCACAATTAAAACAGGTCAAAGTCACCTTTATAGTACGTCCAGCACTTAGCTGGTATATACCATCAGCGCACAACACGTGTTGGGTCCATTAGGACGACTTGGGACGGGTCGTGTCATAATATGTCTAAAGATACAAGTCTAATTCATTCATTAGCACGTATAGTTCACAAATTATTTTAGAGCACTTTAGAAAAATATGCATAATTCGATCTACGAATCTCCAGCGAAGATGATTCCAAATCATATGAATTCTAGACTCATAAAGATTTCATATTCAACTAATTTCGTGCAAATATATGACGTATATCCTTCGGAGCATCATTTTAGAATCAAGGGGCACATTCTGAGACTTTCTGCAAATGCCAAATTTAAAAACTTGTAACTCAGAATCAATGAGAATCTGGGTAAGATACTTTATTACAAAAGAACCTTTTAACATGAACTATATACCAGTAAAATTTGAGAAATCAAGAACCTGCACCAAAGTTGCTGCATTTCAGAGATTATAAGAAATGTCTAGAATTATAATTTAGCATACGGGGCTGGCCTTGGATTTTTAAGGGCGCCACAATCCTGTTAACACCTCTACCTGCATGTTTGTAGTCTCGGGCACATGAGCCCCAGCCCCACTCCTGAACAAACACACACAAGTTCAAACGGCACAGAACTTATAAAGGTATATGTGAAATATGCACCAGAAAAGGCTTCTTGGGAAGATTCTGTATCTAACATTTAGCTGGGATGCGAAGAATGTGGCACTCAATAGTTTAAGAAAATAAGAAAATTATTATTGCATTATACGTAAATCTATTTTATTACAACGCAGTAAATAAACAATACAGGACTTTTTATATTGATCATATCTACATGTAAAACAATCAACCTTGAATTTATGCTATACTATGGTTCATCTGTACAAGAAGAAGAAAATGTGAAGTTTGTCTTAAAAAATGCATCCATGTCAAACTTACAGTTGAATATGCAACTTGCATGGATCATTGTTCTGAGATCCTGGAAAATCCAAGCATGGTTGATGAACGTTGTACAATAAGTTCATTTCAGAAATCCTTTGAATATAAGGCCTGCTTTAAAAATAGTACGAGAAACTCCTTCCTAAAAGCATGTTGAACCCTCGACAAGTGACTATCAATTTCACCTCACTTGTCTAACACTTGACTCGGGGAAGAATATCCCATTAACCTATGAAGTGGAAAATTTGATGGTTCTGGCAACTCTTCAATTTCAGATGAAACTTTTTTCCACTTAGCCATGAAGCTCCGACTGGTTTAGAGGTTTCCACCAAACTCTCGTTCTTGTTCCCATTTCCCTTCAATACAGACTTCATTTTTCTATCTTCCGTAGGCTTATAAGAACTGCCAGACGACATCTTTCTGTTGTAAGCATTCCACTCAATGCAGTCAGCTGAAGGTGTAAGAAATGAAGCATCCCCTTCTGTTGAGCAGCTTCAACAGAAAGACATCCCATAATCATCTGAACATGACGCGGGTTCAGCATGCGAGCAAGAATTAGCATGAGACGTTGGCAACTGATTTCTTTGATTGATAGCATCACTATAATCATCTGCCTCACTGGGTGGTGGAGCTGAAGCTTCCGGAAGGTATGGAACAATGTGCATTCTTTCCAGGAGTGAGAATTTCAGAACCTTCCCACATGCATCGCACCTCAGCTGATGATATTTTTTCCCGAAGCGGAGAAATTCTGAAGGCAGCTGCAAAAGTTCTGAGCAATGATAACAAGAAATAAGTGGGGTTCCACCAACTATGGGCAGGAGATGCCACTTCGTTATGTGATACTTTTCTCGTAAATATAACCTTTTCATTTCCTTGTCTTTATGCTTCTGGTTTCCAGACATTGTCTTGCATCCCAATAAAGATTGTTCAGAGCTTGTGTAATGCTGGCGACTGGAAGAACTAGAGGCAAGGACATTACAGCAATTGTGACCAGTGTGGACCATGCAATGACCATTGTTGCATAGCATGGAATGTGAAGGCAACTGAGCAGAGCGGTGCATGTCTTGGGGACAACAATGCAAACATGAGCAGTTAACCTGGTGTCTGTAGTGGGCAGCCTCCCCTGAAAATGCCATTCTCAAGTCCTTGCGTCGTTGGGGCCAACCTTTCAACAGATCGTGTCTGGCAGGATATGTGGGGTGGCTGAAATCTGCATACATCTCCCTTTCTGGTGCTGAGTGATCATAATACAAGGGAGTTGACTTTTCCTCCACAATACCAGCAGGAAACCTTCCATTTGCCGTTAGTTTTGAATATTGCATCCTGTTGAGCTGTTCTTTCAGTTCACACACGGTTCTCAACAAGTCCATTTTGTCTGTTTCAGAGTACGTAGGCGTATCTGATGAATAGTAAGCTTGACGATTTTGGAGCAAACTTCGCTGATAACTTGATGGGCTTCCATTTCTGTGGGCAGCTTGGAAATCTCTTGAAGTGAATGCCAATCTATTACCACTCTTGCGGCAATGTCTTCTAGTTTCAGGCAATTCAACATGGTGCCAACTGTTGCTGCCTTCCATGGCATGATATTGCTTTCCTTGTAACACGGACGAGTAACTGGCTGCCCAATATTGCATCTCTGACTCACTATTCCTCGTGTTAGTTGTATTTAATCCACCTTTTTTGTGCAATTCAGCAGTGCTGGTGGAGATTTTCTCCTTGAACTTTCTTCTGTGGGGGTGTAAAACATGGTTGGGGATTTGATCAATGGTTCCATCATAAGAAGATAAGCTAGTGTCATAAGCATAGTAACTTTTGGTAGTTGGAAATTTAGACATATCTACATGTTTAACACTGTGCTTAGAGCAAGAGTTGATGGAGGGTAAACTATCTAGTGTATCTACTGAGCTCACTCTACCAAGACTTCGTGTGTCTTCTCTATGAGAATGATCCAGTTGTTCAGTATTGGGAGACAAGCGACTGACAGATGTCTTGTTCTCATCGGAGGGATCTTGAGCGGCAACTAAAGAATCTCCTGAATCTGCATTCTCATATCTTTCTGTGCTTGAGCTTCTGAAGTGAGGCAGATTCTTGATATCAATTTTTACTTCAGTACTGCTTCCAGCTGACAGCGATGAGTTTGCATTTGCACGCAAAGCAATCTCGAAGGACGTAGAATCTTGTCTATTATTATCCATTTCTTCAAGAAGCCCTCCATTCGGACCTCTAAACCGATTCAGACCCTTTTCATTATTTTCAGGCGAAAGATAAGTACTTTCGTCCCCTTCTTTATGTTCTCTATCATCTGGAGGAAACTTACTCTTCTGATGATCATACTCGGGTAAAGACTGAACTTTGGCAATTAAGTTGTCGTCAGCACATGATTCTGTTCGAGAATCTCCACATTCCCTTTGATCCCTTCCAGTGCATCGTTCCGATAGATTCTTTTCACCCAAGTCCACACGTTTTCTAACTACTTGGGTTGAAACGTTGGCCTCCTGACTAGTAAATTCACTTGAACTAGGAAATTCAGCAGAGGGGTTTCTGCATGCAACTCTTTCCTCATTCGAATCCTGAATTCCACTTTCACATCTTTTGGCATTTTGCCCAAAATGACATTTGCCTCCATCCTGTTTCAACTGTTCTATGACTTCTGCAGATAAAACTTTATTCTCAAAACCACTAACCTCACATACGCTTGAAAGATCATCAGAGAAACTCCTATCTTCACATTGCTCCCCATTGTAGTCCATAAAACCATTTAGACTCTTTTCATTATTTTCTAGTGAAAGATGTGTACTTTCTTCCCCTTCAACTTCCCCTTCACTGTGTTCACCATCAGGAGGCAACCTATTCTGATGATGATCATGCTCGGGTGAAGAGCTGGCTTGGTCAAGAGAGTTGTCACTTCCACAATATTCTGTTAGAAAATCTTCATATTCCTTTTGATCCCTTCCGGAGCATTGCTCTGATGGATTCTTGTCATCTGATTCCACACGTTCTCTGATTTCTGGTATTAAAACTTCGGCCTCCTGACTACTAAATTCACTTGAACTAGGAAATTCTGCAGAGGGGTTTCTACCTGCCACATTTTCCCCATTCCAGTCCTGAATTCCACTTTCACATCGTTTGTCATTTTGGCTGAAAGGACATTGGCCTTCTTCATCCTCTTTCAATTGTTCTATGACTTCGGCAGATAAAACTTTATTCTCACAATCGCTAACTTCACATACGTTAGAAAGCTCATCAGAGCAACTCCTATCTTCACATTGCTCCCCAGTCCCCATTGTAGTTCATAAAACTATTTAGGCTCGTTTCATTATTTTCTGGTGAAAGATGTGTACTTTCTTCCCCTTCACTGTGTTCACCATCTGGAGGCAACCTATTCTTCTGATGATCATGCTCGGGTGAAGTGCCGGCTTGGTCAAGAGAATTGTCACTTCTACACCAGTCTATTTGAGAATCTCCATATTCCTTTTGATCACTTTCAGAGCAGTGCTCTGATGGATTCTTGTCATCTGATTCCACATGTTCTCTGATTTCTGGGGTTGAAACATTAGCCTCCAGACCGGTAAATTCACTTGAACTAGGAAATTCAGCAGAAGGGTCTCTGCCTGCAAATCTTTCCCCATTCCAATCCTCAATTCCATTTTCACATTTTTTGGCATTCTGGCCGAAAGAACATTTTCCTTCTTCATCCTGTTTCAAATGTTCTATGACTTTCACAGATAAAACTTTATTCTTGCAACCGCTAAACTCACATATGCTAGAAAGCTCATCAACGAAACTTCTATCTTCACATTGCTCCCCATTGTAGTCCATAAAACCATTTAGATCCTTTTCATTATTTTTTGGTGCAAGAGGTGTGCTTTCTTCCCCTTCACTGTGTTCACCATCTGGAGGCAACCAATTCTGGTGATGATCATGCTCGGGTGAAGAGCCGGCTTGGTCAACATAGTTGTCACTTCCACACCGTTGTGTTCGAAAATCTCCATATTCCTTTTGATCCCTTCCGGAGCATTGCTCTAATGGACTCTTGTCATCTGATTCCATGTGTTCTCTGATTTCAGGGTTTGAGACATCGGCATCATGACTGGAACATTCGCTTGAACTAGGCAATTCAGCAGAAGAGTTTCTTCCCGCAATCGTTTCCCCATTGCAATCCTGAAATTCGCTCTCAAGTGTTTTGGCATTTTGGCCTAATGGACATTTTCCTTCTTTATGTGGTTTCAACTGTCCAATGACTACTTTGGATAAATCTTTATTCTCATAACCGCTAACCTCAAGCGAGCTAGAAAGCTCCCGAGAGACTATCGTATCTTCACATTTCTCCCCATTGTTGACCACAGATTCGCCCTCATCTCTTGGTTTTTCTTCAATTCGCAAAGATTTTCCACCCAATGGGGTTAAATCTAGATTTGAGCTGCTCTCTGCATTCTCCTTCAAAATACGATCCGGCTCACTTTCCGAAACTCGGTTTGTATCTTGCAAGTCTACTCCGTCGTGGTTGGTGTCATTTCTCTGTGTTTTAGCTGAATTCAAAACGGTAAAATAAAAAATAAATAAATAAATAAAATATATATATATAAGAAACAAAATTTAACTTCTTCATATGTGAAGTGTCTTGATCATATTTTAGAGCATCTTCAAACAGATTGTCTATCTCACAATATGTCATAGCACAAATAAGAAGATGAACGACAAATCGAAGTCAAAAAAGGTAAGTGTACTATTAACTAGGTAAGTGTGGAAAAGGTTAGTACATTTGAGAGTCGTGCCACATCCTCCACACTTGTATAAAGGAAGCTCAGGCAACTCTGTCAGAAGCTGTCTGCATCTAGGACATATAACCAGTCGAAATTTTGTGCTTATTTGAGTTGTCATTCTCACCTTGTTGTTTGACTGCAATGATACCACACTATTGCTCAAACAGTCAAAATCTGGCAAAAACCATGAAACATCAATGTTGAATATGAAAGTTTCCATTATAAAATATTTTGATATTAATAAGACAAGTGCAAGGGATAAATAATGGATACAGTGAAAATAGCAAGTTAATGACAAGGGAATGCTGATTCAGACCACTAAACATAGTTCAGAGTATTTTAAGCAGATGGGGAATATTATGATAACAAATGAAGTTATATTCAGAAACAGAACTATAAGATACTAACGCATATTGTGTAGGTCAAACCATTAGATAGAAAATGACAATAGCTGAAAGCACTTAAAGAAACGACGAGGTGCAAAGAAAGGAACGACAATAAAGAAGAGGCCAGAATTTGGATCAGATCAGATAATTGTACCTCACGTAGAGATACACATAAAAACTAGGATAATTTAACACCAATTATTGTAAAATACCAAAACCAAAAACCTTGAATGATCTAGCCACAAACCTAATAGCGAAAGTAGAACAGACATGATCTTGGAAGTGAAGAATTACAGAATGAAAAAGGAGACTTGATACTGATTCATAAACTCAAAAAAATTACTGGATCCTACCAAGTGAAGCTAGTCTGAATTGACATAATATAATTGATTGTATGTCAAAAGCTCTTCAGCACAAGAATGAGATATTGGTATAATAAATAAATACAACCTAAGCAAATCAACTTCTAGCAGAAAGAAGTGGTCGAACATAATGAGAAACCACACAGACGTTTTTATCAACTTTTAAAGAGATTCATTTTCTGATATCCATCATTTATGTAAACTTGGGTTATGTTCAGTATGTAGTATTGAATTAAAACGGACAAGATTTTAGCTTCTTTTTCTTATTTAACAGCGTCACGTACTCTACACTACAGCCAAATTAACAAACTATCGATGCATTTCAAAACTGTTTGGAGTGCCCAGAACCAGAATACTCCCTTTCCAAAGTCCAATCAAACAATTCCATCAAATCTCAAGCCATTTTCACCCAAACAAGGAATAGAGACTATGAACTAGAAATTCAAAGTTAGCAATGAATTTTATCAGTAAACATACATCAGATCAAACCGAAAACCATTAGACAACAATTACTTCATTAAAAATTGAAACACGTACCATACCTTTGTTTGCAAACAGCAGCAAGCAATTACTACAATTCCATTGCTTTATCTCTATATACACATACAGAGAGCAACTGGCAATGTAAAGTAATCCAATAAGAAATTCTTCGTTAAAGCCAAGTAATTTCCCCAATCTTCTTCTACTTCTTCTTCCTGGTATTTTACACCTCTCTCTCTCTCTCTCTCTCTCTGAAAATAACAATATGAAGTCTTGTTCCGTGTGAAAGAAACTTGAATATCCCAAAAGTCGAAATTTGTGTACTCTTACAGACAGGAGTGGGGTAGCGGGAGCGCGTAGAGTAGTTTAGGAGCGAGAGAGGAATGACGTGTTTAACTGTTTTCAGTCATTACGCACTTCCACTGTTCCACAACGCTTGTATTTTTTATTTTTCTTTTCTGACGATTTTCTTTATTGAAATTACATATTTACCCTTCTTACTGCCAAGTCAAACTACCATCAATTAATCAAGCTGTACAAACAAAATAATTGTTGACAAGAATTAGATCATTGAGCCCTTATTTGGTACATATTCCCTACTAATATAAAAGAGTCAATCCGTCATTCACTATTTATTTGTGAAGCATTTTCGTTGCCCATTTTATCCTCACCAATTAACACATTTTCCCCCACTTTATAAACATTTT